TGTGGGTGTAATCTTTGGCTGCACAAGATGTACGGCGCTGAGTATCTTTTACACCTTGTGTTAACATATATACACACACTCCAGTTTCTGACTTCACTTATGTTGACTGACTGCAGGTTGTTGAGATTATTGATCGGTATGATCATGCATGTGTCCCACCTAACATGACTGATAATAAGCTTGCGTACATCCAGAATGAGGCTATATCCAGAGAGTGCACAAGGACTCTCACGGTAATACATAACTGAACGATTTTCTTACAGTATTTTTTCAAGTTTCTAGAATTGTGTTGCGTGTGCAGCTATCAGCAAGCACCTTCTATCAGTCTCTTAGCCAAAATGAGATCTGGGTGTTACCATGCAGGTTACAAAGGATACGAAGCAGCCAATTTATGCCTACTACCAACTTGACAACTTTTATCAGAATCATAGGAGGTATAGTCTTATTTGATGTTTTCAGTCAATAACTTCTGGAGCAACTTATTTGATGTTTTCAGTCAATAAAATGGGATTATTGTTTGTTAGTTATGGGTCCTTATGGAAGTCTATATTTGACCTATTGTGTTGACATCAGTTCGCAATTTTATTTTCCAGTTCATGCCCCGGTCAAATCTAGAGCTATGCATGCCTATGTCATCTCTCACAGATCACTGTTCTTTTCATTCCTCCAATTGAAACCATGGCTGCCAGTATTGAGGTCACTTGCTATTCCTGCTTTTACTAATGTAAATTTTACTTATTTGTTTTGGTGGCTTAGGTGAACGCCCACAACCCGCCTTTGATTCTTGAGGTGTATTGTGTACTCTAAGATACATTGCCCTTGATGCTTTTCGTGATTTGGCATGGATGTTTGGTTCCTATTAATTTAAAGGTTGTAGTAATGACATTTTCTTTATCATACTAATGAATTTACAGCTTAATCTATCATGCATAATAATGGAATTTTTGGTTCCTGTTAATTTGGGGTGTAGCCAATCTCCTCTCTCTCACACAATCTGAATTTTTTAGCCATGTGTTTCAGCTCATAAAGGCTGAACTATATCTGATTTTTTGCTGCATGTTTCAGGGTCAGGATTCTGTACTAGACGTGATGAGATAAAATGAGGTCTGAATTTTTTAGCCATGCTTTCTTAGCTCATGAAGGCAGGAGCATATGTGATTTTTCTGTACCACCTTCCCGCGGCTCTGAGGATTTTGTCTGCTCGCTGCCTCTCCGCTATTTATTTGTTGTGTCTACTGCATTGTTTGTTCTGCCACCCTTTTCCTCAGTTGCTAGCGGGGGGCCTTGGCTTATCGTATTGTTTGTTGCCTTCCTCTCATAGGTTCGTTGGTATTGTAAACCATTTTTGTTGTAGTAATAACTACAATGTCAAATAAATTTACATTTCACCTTGCTTCCACTATTATTCAAGTTTTTCCCTGCTTATTGGTCGTACTAGCAAGATGGTTTTTGTTTTTTTACCGTGTCTAACATAGTGTATTTCTACGATTTTTCTCTGTTAAAACATATCCACTTCCATGCTCTTTTCTCTATTTTAGTACACAATAGTATGGCTGCATACTACCAATTGCAGAAATTATTCATTTGCCACTAAAATATATATTTTCCTATTCACAAATTAAATAACAACAAAGATGAAGTTGGTCCCCGGATGCCTAATATGTTCTTTCATATCCTGGTCAGTTTACCAGGTAACAGAATTAATACTTCTTGTTGGTTCAATAGTCAATACCAGTGTTGTGAGAAAATTCCTTACGGTTGTTGTATTTTGGTAGCTTCTTCTTTTGCAAGTGGCAAATTACTGTTATGTATATGTGGAATCCTATTAAATCTGTGCATTGGTTTCAGTCATACTTTTCTAAATGGAGTATAGTTCAAGACTGTTTTGTTCATTAAATCATTCCTTCTACCTTCCAAGTGTGTCGTTGGCACACCTCAAATTACTTCTACTTATACATGTATTCAATGTTTGGCGGCTCGATCCGCTCCTGGATCGGGAGAGGAGGAAGGGAGGTGGGGGGCCGGCCGTCTCTGTGCCTCCTCGACGCCGAGCTGCGGCTGCTCCGTGTGTGCGCGCTCTCTCTCTCTCAGGTACTCTCTCTCTCTCGATCTGAGAGGAAACGATGCAGCCACAGCCTCCTGCACCCCCTTCTCTCTCGCCGATGCTGCTCCCCAACCACCGTGCTGTGACGTTGCTTCCCAAATTGGTCGTTGTCTCGTCTCCTCTGACCTCAATACCGTCCTGGGCGGCGCTGGTACCGAGGTGCCACCTCTGCCTCCACCCCCACTGGGCAAGGAGCTCGAGGTGTTTGGGGGATTCTTGTCCCTGATGTTAATTAGGGTGACTATTTCTGTTTGGGTAATTTGGGGGACGAATTTGATGCTTGTGTTAAATTCTTGTTGTATCATTTTTTGTGCCCATTAAATACATTTACCATTTTATGACTTGAATTTGCGGCCAGAGAATACAGGTCAATTATTCTTCACTAATTCATTTCCTTGTAGTACAGTTGTGTTAGTTATTTGCTTGCAAGATAGCATCTTCCTGAATGATTTCTTTATATTTTTCAGATAAGGAGAACTTTAACCTTGCGCCCACCTATGGCAATATTGCCCTCTTTATATTCTCCCTCGCTCATCAGCAGCAGCGATGGTGGCGTCATTGTCGGCCTTGCAGCATGTGGCATAATCATGTCCATTGCCTACTCTGGGGCAGATCTTTGAAAGTAAGGGATTTCATGCTTACGTGCAAAATGTTTTCTATAATTTTGTGACGTGTAGCCTTTTACTGTTGGAAGGAGGATACTACATGTGGTTCTTTGCCCCCACCTGCGTTTTTTTTATCTATATACATTGGGTAAATGTTCTTTTTTTTATTGATGGTTGATTGATACTTAGCTGTTTGTCAGTTTATAAATCATCATAAAAGGAGAAGAATCAACTTTGGCATAGTGGATATATGTTGCTTGCAGAAATTTAATGTCCTCTTCTTCTTTGTAGGTTCCAAGTTGGTTAATGTTGATTTTTGCTCATGCACAACCCATCATAGGAATTAGTAGGATCCTCTTTGATGGATGTAAGGACTGCAACAGGTAAATGTCTTCTGTTTTCACATTTGAAATTTATAGCTTGAACCCTTCATTGAGAAAGCATGCCCTAGGTGTGGCCATGAGTAAGAATAAATGAGGGTCAACAATTGTAGAGCATGGATACAGACATGACTAAGACTTACTGTTTGTTGTGATGCTCCTGCTTTGTCTCTTTGATATATAGATTCCTAAAATCATCTTTGTTGGTTTGGATGATTTTGCAGGTTTCTTTCAGCAGCCTGGGGTTGTTAAGAAGAGGGTCGGGATTGCTCTGGGCAGATGCTTAAATTCCTGGATGTAAACGCACACTTGTCTCCTACACAGGCCAAAATACTATTGGAGGTGTGTGTGCAGTTCTAATTTACTAACATTCTTCTTTCTTTTACCACTGACTGCATCTGACAAATGAACTGTGTGGTTGCTTTCAGATAAGGATACTCGCGCTGCTGCTGTTGCGTTTGGTTAGGGAGGGTGAGCTTCTTCTTTTATTCAGTTTAATCAATGTTCGATCCCCGCTGCTGCTGTTGTCTGCTGATTTGTTCTTGTTTGTTTCTTCTTCTTTGTTGTTGTTTGTAGGGCTTCTTCGTCTGCTTTGCCGTGCGGTGGCTGTGCGGCTGCTTGTTCCTTCTTGTCCGGTGTACATGAGAAGCTCCAATTTTGTCGGCAATAGCCACTGGAGAAAGTAGTGATTGGGTTTATATGGGATAGTTATGTATGTCCATTGTGTGATGGGAAATACAATGCAGTGGTTAATTGTCACATGGCTTCTCAATAGTGGCTTCTCAGTAAAAAAAAAGTTATATGATGTATGATAGCCATGAGTATGATGATTTTTCGGATGGGCGGTAAGCTTCCCATGTTTGATGTTTTTTTTTACTTTTTAAAATTGAACGATGCTGGTGAGAATAGTACTGTGGTGTACACTTCTATTTGGTCATATATTTTGTCCTTTTTTGGTTCTCAGTGTGGATATATGGTCCTCATTTTTTTATTTTGTTCTATTTAATTTGGTTCTATAAGATTAAGATCCATACTTATCTTTAATCTGATGTTGTTCATGTATATGATGTCCTTCGATTTTAGGAATAGTATCTTATGTTGAATGTATTCTTCCTTTGTCAAATTTTTGTGGTATCTACCTCAGGACTTGCCTTTAAAATAGGTAAAATTGGTATCATTGCTGAAACCTTTTTTTTACTTGGTGAAATCCTAATTTTAGCAACACTTATGGTTTCACATGATCTTTACTCTTGCTCAAACATAAAGTTATCAAATAATGTAAAAAAAGATTCAACACGAACATGGTTTTCAAACGGGTCTTTGCGCCATTTGGCGCAACGGGTCATCTAGTTGCTTTAAACGTCGGAGGGCAGACATACACACCGCCGTCGCACTGGAGCTACTAGGAAAGAGCAACGGGAGTTCTGGGGTGCCGCTCACGGAGCGGCTGGAGGAGGGGTAAATGCAAAGTGCTCAAAACATAGAGCACCGGCATAATCGACGAATTTTCCGTCACACACAAAGCCTTGGTCACAGAAGAGAAGAAGGGTGAGAGGGGAGGAAGGGCCCGAACGAAGTCGCACGGTGGCTCACCCAGCGAGCCTACTGCCATGTTGATGTTGTCGTTCGAGAGAGAGAGAGAGAGAGAGAGAGTCTTTTTTGTTTTTCGTTTTTTAAGTATTTTTTTGTTCGGTCCCACGTGTAAGTGACATGTTGTGTTTTCTTTTTTTCCTGGTTGGGTCCCGCACAGGGATGCAGGCCGACAGCGTCTACGTATCCGCAAATGTCTGCGACGACGGGAAATGTACTAATTAATCCCTGTTGCTTTAAGTTTTGTGTGTGCTTTAGTTTTGCTCTTGCGGACTGATGAGGACGCGCGGACCCGCATGTAAGAGAAAGGGCATCTCATTATGGTCGGCGGGCCTACTTGTAAGAAGGGGCAAGGTCATCCTGCAAATTTTCTCTCACGGTCAAACGGCGTTGATGGAACGTAATCGTGATAGGAGAGAAAAAACATAAAGGCTTTTGGTTTAGGGGCAAAATAGACAAGTGTGACACGACCAGGGGCTCAAATGTATTTCCCCTTTTTTTATTGAGAAATAATTGTCCCTTATTTTTGTTATTCAGACATGGACCCGGGCCGGGCCGAAATCACTGTTCTGACCTTGTCAGAGAATCTTCACACAAAATAAACTCAAAACGAAAACAATCTGACCCTTTTAGAAATGCCACAGCCCATGACGTTGCTTCTCCACATGAAAACGCCGAACCAGCTCGCGTTGCTGCAACACATGAAAACGCCGAGCTAGCTCGCGTTGCAAATCTGGCCCACCGTCAGGCCCTGCTCACGTGGTAGAGCAGGAAACGCCAGAGGTAATGGCGTTTCTACTGCTTACACCAACGCCAACGTACCTAGCGTTTGATGCGAAAGCTTACTCTCTACCTTGTTTATTTTATTCCGATGACACATGCTGGCGTTTCCACTGCTCACTAGGGCCTTTCAAACGGCCCTCAAACGTCCGGGCTGACCGGCACCCCCATATCCAGCCTAAATATAGGACGGATATGGGGGCGTCCGGGCACGCCCGTCACGTCGGCCTGATGGCGTGTCCACACACGGAAACGCCTGGAAGCCAGACGGTCTGATGGCCGCCGCGTCCGTCGGCGTGGTGAGAATGTCGCGTGGCGCCACTCTGGCTCGCCGCCCAAGACGACATCCGACTATTTAAGCCGGTCGACGCCCCGTAACCGTAACCCATCCCCCCCTCTCCGCGCCGCCAGTCCGAGCCCTTCCACGTCCTCCCTCTCTCGCTCCGGCGCTCTGCCCATGCTCCGCCACTCCACCATGGTCCGCAGCAAGATCACCTATGCCATGCTGACGCCGGAGCGACGCTACGAGATCCAGCAGCAGATCCGGGCGAGGGCAGTCGCACGCCGCCCGCATCACTGCATGGATATAAGAATCTAGTATGAGATGTTCGGATGCAAGAAGTGATATTTGAGGCGTCCGTGGACACGTCCGGGCGCGTCCGCTGGCGTTTGGGAGGCCGGATTTGCCATATGTGACTGTAGATGCTCTAATACATGTGTTCGCGCCTATCCTCCATTTGCATCAAATAAGATTCATTTTGAATATGTTTTATTGAATTTTGAAATAAATTTTAAATTTCAACTATTGAAACATAGTATTCCGTATGAGCGATCGATAGAATCACGAGTTGTGCCTACAAACAACTAAAAATTGTATTAAAATTTATCTATGAAACTTGGTAAGAGCGAGCGAAAAATCGCAAGTTTCAGATAAAAATTCATAAGTTTCAATGACTGAAACTTAAACTTATTTGTGGCCCCATGCAAGACTTGACTACTTTGCGAGTCGCGAGGCAATCAAGCAGCCGGGCAGGTCTTGATGTTTGCGTGCCACCGTGAATTTTCGCACTGTACAATTGAACATTCCCTGAATGTGTCTCTTTTATACAAAAACTAGCAAAATATTATGTTTTTTTGCCCATTATACACTATTCATCTATCATGATGTTTTATGCCCTGCACTCGTATTTCTATGCTGAAAAGGTTCGTGACATGATATTGCATTCGAGGCTACCAGTGCAAAGGATGGATGTGAGCGTGCGCATGTGTGAGGCTACCGGTGTAAAGGATTCAATTTCTCTTATCTCTGAGAATGGATCAAAAAGTACACGCATGCTGCATGTTGTGGGGCTAGTGGAAAAGAAATAAAATAAACAAGGTAGAGAGTAAAGCTTTCACATCAAACGCCAGGTACGTTGGCCTTGGAAACGCCATTACTTGTGGCGTTTCTTGCTCTGCCACGAGGCCTGACGATGGGCCGGGTTAGCAACGCGAGCTATCTCGGCGTTTCATGTGGTGCAGCAACGCGAGCTGGCTTGGCGTTTTTATGTGAAGCAGAAACGTCATGGGCTGTGGTATTTTGAAAAAGATCAGATTGTGAAATAGTTCCGTTTCAACTTCTATTATGCGAAGGTTTCTTGATAAGGTCAGACCAGTTATTTCGGCCCCCGGGCTGGGTCTGACGTCAGTGCTGGGTTTCTGACCCAACTCGAACCCAGAGAGGTCAGGCCGGCCCAAGCAGCCCATCGGCAGAGGGCCCCGTACTACACGAGTGAATTGCCGCAGCACGCAAGGCAGCAGAGGTCAGCAGAGGGCTTATCATCGTCGTCTGCACTCTCGCTGACTGCGTGGGCCCGCCGTGTCTCCGACGTGACGTCAGTTCAAAAGTGAAGTCCAGCGGGGCGCGCGGGGCGCGGGGCGGAGCGGGACGAAAGTGGCGCGGGGCCGGGAAAAAGGCACTCACCAAGAACCAAAGACGTTCACAAATGAAGGCAGAGCGAACAAGCAAAGGAAATAACGAGGACTACCCACAGGTGCAACCTAGATAGAACTCTCTCTCTCTCTCTCCCTCAAGTTGAACAGGATCGTCCCAGACACAATGAATATTAGGCGCAGCGCATCATGTACGGACTACGCCTTCGAAGAAATAATTGCATGTGTGTTCCTGCATGTGGCGGCGTCTTTTGAGAGCGGCGAGGGACTGTTCATATGCCACTGTACAACAAGGAGAATTTTTCAATTTTCAAACCCTCCCATGCATGCTGT